TCTGACCAACAGAGTGGTTGATGTCCAAGGATATGTCATTAAAGGGCTTATAGCTTTCGCTTTGTTTTTGGAATGCTTGCCGAGCTATCATGTAAGAATTTTAACTACCTCAAGGCCGCCATGCTGGTGGGCCACAGGGAAGCACAGGCAGAAAGTCCGTGCCAGGCCCAGTCTTTCCACCATCCCTCCCAAGGCTCCAGACATGGCAGTGATCCCATCTGGAGCTAACCAAGCCAGCTCCTCCACCAGCCGATGAATATTGAATGACTTCTGTCAACACGGACGGGTGCAGAAGAGCTACCAGCTGAGCCCTGCCCAAATCCCTGACCTACAAAAATCATAAAATAAAACAAAGTGATTGTTGTTTTAAGCCACAAAGTTTCAAGGTCACTCGACATGCAGCAATAGACAACTGGACTGGTCAGGAAGAACCTTCTAAGCACAAAAGCTCATAAGTAATCCAAAGAATAGTAGAGTTGAAATTGTAAACTGCTCTATGTCAAGTATCATCATATACAAAATTAAAAGGTAATGATGAACTAGAAAAATACCCTCGCAACACATCTAATGGACAAACTAGAAGAAAACTGCAATAGAAAAAAATGTGAAATAACAAAATGCAGTTATCAGAAAAAAAATTTAAAAGGTAAAAGAGAAAAGATGTTTATCACTATTAATAATAAAATAAATGCAAATTAGATAACATGATACTTTTTTGCCTTTAAATTTGTAGATTGTTAAAATGGTAGCACTCAATACCTGCAAGACTGCAGTGTGGCAGGAATTTTCCAACACTGCTGGTAGAAATGGAAATTTGTAATCTTCCTGGAGAAAAATTTGATGATATAAATCAAAAGCCTTAAATACCCTTTGCTCAAGAAATTCCACTTCTAAAAATTAATGTGATATAGCCAGATATTTCTTACAAACATTCTCATCACAGCACTATTTATAACAGCGAGAAATTATAAACAACCAACAAAACATTCAATGGTAGAATTGTTGCTAAATTTCATTTATTTCATAAATAGCATGAAATATAATGGAGTTATCAAAAATCATGTTTTCCAAAATATTCAATGCTAGGAGAATACATTTACAACAGAATTAAAGTAGAAAAAGTAGTTAAAAATGTACAGAAAGAATAGCCATAGTTTTGTTTACATACATGAATAGATAGATTTAAAAACTGGATGGAAGCTGAGCATGGCAGCTCATGTCTCTCATCCCAGCACTCTGGCAGGCTGAGTCAGGAAGATCTCTTGAGGCCAGGAGTTTGAGACCAGCCTGAGCAACATAGTAAGGCTTCATCTCTAAAAATATTTCTTAAAAATTGGCCAGGCATGGTGGCATGCACCTGTATTCCCAGATACTCAAGAAGCTGAGGCAGGAGGATTGCCTGAGCCCAGAATTTCAAGGCTGCAGCGAGCTATGATCATACCACTGCACTCTAGTCTGGGCAACAGAGAGAGACCCTGTCTCTTAAAAAAAAATGAGGAGAGATTTACACCTCCAGGAAGACGGGCTAGATATACTTTTCCCTGCTCCACCCACTAAGCACAAGTGAAAATCCTGGACGTTATATATAAAACAAATATAAGACTCTAAAAAGTGGAAAGAAGAAGCCAGATTAGATAGGAACTCAGGACCTGAGGAACAGCATGTTAGTGAGTTCCATGGGTTTTCTTTGTGACTCATACATCCCAGACTTGGAACTGAAGAAGCCCACAACCCAGAAACACCAACTGGAGCAGACAAAAAAAGCCCCAAGAAAAACCTGCTATCCCTAGCCAAAAAACAGGAAAAGGAGAACTAGCAAGACAGAAAACTTTTAGACAATAACTGCTCTGCTCCAGCCGAACCTTCACAGAAAAGGAAATTGTGGCCTCACCCCCACTCAGCAGCAGAGCCCGGTGGGGAACCTCAACTTCCACCAGCATGAGGCTACAACAAGGCACCCAACCACCAGGTGGGGGGTGTCACTGAAGGCCAAGTAGTGAGACAGGACTTTCATCCACCATGACCAGTAGGGAGCCCTGACATGGGGGGCCTGGAATTCCACCCCTAGGCAACAGCAATAAGGGACATCTCCCACTGCACAATAGGAAGGTGACAGAGGAGGTCTAGTGGAGAATGAGAACTTCCACCACCACCGGACAATAACGAGGGCACTCCCCCAACGGAGCTCCCATCCCCGCCAGCGGCACTGAACAGTCTCCCTACCCCCACCACTGAATGTCAATGGAGGCCCAGTGAGGACCCTGGACTTCTACCCCTGCCTGAAGGTAACAAGATGGCACCCCACTTTTCTCCTGCTGGAATGATGTCAGAGGAGACCAGCTGAAAGAGTAGGTTTAAATAAGATCCAGAGCCTCATAGCATAATACAAAAATGTACAGGGCTTCAACAACAAGAAAAACACTCATCATCCCAAGAAGATCTTAAACTAAATGAAAAAAAAAAAAAAAAGACATGCAATAGATGCCAGCAAGACAGAGATATTAGATTTATCTGATGAAGATTTTAAAGCAGCTCCTGATAAAAATGCTTCAACGAGGGGTTATGAACATGCTTGAAACAAATGGAAAAATAGAAAGCCTCAGCAGAGAAATGCAAAATGTCAGCAAGGAAATAGAAAATATATATATTTTTAAAAAGAACAAAATGGAAATTTTAGAGATAAAAAAGTATAATAATCAAAATTTAAAATCCTAGTGTATGGACTTTTATTAGTGTCCTATTGCTGCTGCTACGAATTATCACAAATTTAGTAGCCTAAAACAAAACAAATACATTATCTTATAGTTCAGTGATTCAATTCAATTGTGACACTGTCTACCTGGTCATAGCACCAGATCCCACAAGTGAAGGGCTTCGTTCCGCAAGACTGCCCCCACGTCAGATGCCAGTTGCAGTCCCAGGTTGTTTAGTTGTTCTTCTGATGGAACGGATTATAAACTGGAGATTCCTACAACCAGCCTGCGGGTTCCATCATTTGCTAGAATGGCCCACAAAACTCAGGGCAGTACTCTACTTATGTTTACCCATTTATTACAAAAGGGTACAATCCAGGACCAGCCAGATGGAAGAGATGGATGGGGAAAGGTACTGGGGAAGCAGCCTGGAGCCTCCATCCATGCCCTCTCTGGGCACACCACCCTTCTGGGACCTCCACCTGTGCAGCAACCCAGGAATTCTCCGAACTCTGTCCTGTTGAGTGTTACAGAGGTTCATCACTAAGACAAGATTGATTAAATTATTGGCTGCCGGCCACTGGCAACTCGACCTTCAGCCTGTGTCTTTCCCCCGGAGGATGGGGGTGAGGCTGACACTTTCAACCCACTTAATCGATGACTGGTGCCCCTGGCACCCAACGCCCACCCCAAGGCTATCCAGGAGTCCCCCAGTCGTCAGTAATCTCATTAGCATACACAAAGATACTTGGGAGTTTTTAGCACCTGTGTGCCAGGAAAGCCGGACAAAGACCAAACATATGTTTCTTATTATAAATCACAATATCACAAGTACCATTGGGGGAAACTGAGCAAAAGGCACAAGGCACTTCCCTGTATCATTTCTTACAACTGCATGTGAATCTATAACCATCTCAAAATAAAACATTTAATTAAAAAAAAATTTAGTATGATTTCACATAAAAATCTAGATCTCCGCCTTCTCTGAAAAAATTGCAAGATCTGACCCGCTTCCAAATGTGGCTAAAATGGCTGGAGTTGAGCAACAGCTGCACCTCCAGCCCGGGCCTGCACTTGCCAGTTCATCCCAGTCCTCACCACTCCCTATCGGCTACCACCTAGGCTAAGGTCTTTCTGCTGTTGACCATTCAGCTTGCCCTGCTGTGTCTCTTACATCCACTGAGAGTCCCCTGTCTGGTCCCTGTAGGCATCTGAGTTGCCCACTTTTGTCGACTCAGATTCCTTACACCAGAAAGCAGATCTAAGTCATGCTGAAGTGTTAGCTCATAGAAACATGTTAACCCCTTATGCCTGGAAAATGCGTACCTAAGACATATATACACCATATGGCAGAAACCCTTGTAATTCAGAAAGACCTGAATTAAAATCATGGTTTTCCTACCTGACCTTTAGCAAATTACTTGACTTTCTGTACTTTCACTTATAAAATGGTGGCAATAATATATAACTCAATCCAACCAAAACACCTTCCACCATAGATAGAGTAGGTGCTCATTAATATGTTTTCCCCCTAACAGCAGGAGGCCTCTTCCTTACAGCTTTGTCATTCCTCCTTAGTGACCAACAGGTTATGCTAAAAGAGGTCGGTTCCCACCAGAGTTTTATACATATAATTATTGTTGACTGGGAACTTGCTAAGCATCCAGAACTATCTCACAATCCCCCCAATAATGCTACAAAGCAGGCGTTCTCTTGTATTGTGCTCATCTTACAAATGAGGAATCAGAGGGGCATAGAGTTATTTGGTTATTTAGGTTTCAGCCAATAATTCTGCCTCTAGAACCTGTGCCTTGAATTACTTTTCTGTCGCCTCTCGAAGTTTCTGGGTTTGGCAGAGCTTGGTAGAGTCCCAGACCCTCTCCAGGACTGGCACATGCCTTTTCCATCTCTTGGAACATTACTAAGGTAAGGTCATTAATGACAACATCCTAGTTAGCCTCGTTTTACAGCTTTGGGGAGACATTGAGAATGCCAACTCTGTTACAGCTTTGTCCCCTCTGGCACATGAAATCTCTTTTGGGATGGGTGTGTCACGCAGGGACCTGCGAGCACACTGTGTTTGAAGACTTTCAGATACCATGTGGCAAGCACAGCATATTATTATGGAGGATATTTTCCTATGGCAGCTTTATTGGCATCCCTTTCGTGAGCTGATGATCTTTTATTGGCACTGACTTATATTGGCAAAGAGAAGGGGACAAAAAACACAAGAAACAGGCTGAGCGAAATACCAGCTCTCCCCTGAGGACTGGTTGCTGGCCAAGCTCCTCAGGGCTTGTCACTCACCGGAGATGAGGTACTCACGAACAACAGGGTACTCTCTGCCTCTTGCCGGCGTGTCCAGGACCTTCCCAGGAAGCAAAACCGGAGAAACGTCTTAGGCTTGTTTCTCAGGGGTTAAGAGCTTGGGCTCTCCTGTGAGACAAAGCTGGATTTGATTCCTGGCTCCGCCACATCCTAGCTGTGTGGGCAAGGCTCACGACCTCTCTTGCTAAGCCTGTTTTTTTCATTTTGTAAAATGGAGATGATAATGATCATAATGCCTTCCTTACAGGGTCTTCGAAGGAAATAAATGAGATGATACAGGAAATGTGCTTCCCACAGTGCCTCACGGGCAGTAAGCACTCAACAGCTGCTGGCGTAGTCGTGTTGGGATTTGCAATAAGCGGTGGGGAAAGGGAGGGTGGTGGTATTTTAGCAAGCATCGATAAAAAAGTGAGAGAAAAAAAGATTAGACTTCAACAGGCACTCCAGGGAACCTCATGGCCCACAAAAGCTGTATTCCACAGAGAGTCCTTGGATTTGAATATTTAAAACTTAAATCATGTTTTTCTTCTAGATTCGTTTATAATTCCAGAAATGTTTTCTGTTCGATTTTGATAAATTTAACTGTTTTCTTTAAACAATGTCCTGGCTTCGCCTCTTTGTGAAGGTGACCTTGGGCAACAGTATTGTGACCTTGGGCAACAGTATTCACCTTTCTAAATATCAGTTTTGTCATCTATATCATTAAGTTCTGGAGTCACCTGAGAAAACATCCACAGAAGAGCTTTGTAACAGCATAACTCCCCCATAGAAATGCTAGGTTATAATGGCCCCAGTGCCACTCTCAGCTGGGCGCCTGTCTTAGACATTTGTAGAGTGACCTATACTTTCATATTGAAAACAACAGCTTAGTTTGCCCTAGTAAGTTGGAATTTTGTATATTTTCTTTTTCTTTTTTTTTTTTTTGAGACAGAGTCTCACTTTGTTGCCCAGGCTGGAGTGAGTGCCGTGGCGTCAGCCTAGCTCACAGCAACCTCAAACTCCTAGGCTGAAGTGATCCTCCTGCCTTGGCCTCCCAAGTAGCTGGGACTACAGGCATGCACCACCATACCCGGCTAATTTTTTCTATATATTTTTAGTTGGTCAATTAATTTCTTTCTATTTATAGTAGAGACGGGGATCTCACTCTTGCTCAGGCTGGTTTCGAACTCCTGACCTCGAGCAATCCACCCGCCTCAGCCTCCCAGAGTGCTAGCATTACAGGCGTGAGCCACCGCGCCCAGCCTATTTTCTTAAAGAAGGCAAAACTGTGGCGAAAACTGCGCTAATAAGGTACAAGCATTTAATGTGGAGAAAAATATTTCAAAAATTGATTAATATCTTAGGGAGGTGATAAAATTCTTCTCTCACAGAATTTTATCACAGAAAAGCAGAGCGATGGGTGAAGAACAGAAAAGATTTCTTCCAGGTTATTCCAGAATCCATCCCTTTGACTTTAGTCTCTCCCAGATTCCAGACTGCCTGCGAAATGTTACCAAATTAATCGTGCTAACACCTTGGTTTTCATCTTACCGCTCCCCTGCTCCAGAATTCCCAGGCGTCCCTAATTATCTACATGAAACGCTCCGAATCCACAGTCTGCTATTTGACTGCCTCGCTTTACAATCTGGTCCCACTGCCCTTCTCTGCCTGGGCCTGCCTGTCTCTCTCACGTGCAAGCTTCACGCTCCCGCCGTCCTGTCTCCCAGCCAGTTCCCGCTTCTCTCCTGCTCCCAACATCTGCTCGGGCTAGCCTCTCACCTGTCTGTTGTCCTCTACTCCTTCATCTGTATTAATCCTACACACCCCTGTTTATTTCCTTCTTTTTGCACATCTGTATTGCCTTAATTTTCTGTAATACTTGCTATTTACATCCTAGTTGCTCCTGGGGCCTAGATCCAGAGATTCCTTCCCCAAAAGTCCCTGCAGGCATTGATCACTCACTCTGTAAATGGAGCTCTTAGCTTTCCTGTGGGCGGGTCTCTCTCCCCGACCAGACCAGGTTGTTCCTGCTGTAGGGCCACGGTTAGGCCTTTTATTTCATGTACCTTGTGTTGTTTGTTCTGTGACTCTTTCCGGAAAAGCTTGAGGGCAGCTAACAAGAAGAACACACACACGCACACACACACACACACACACACACACACTCAAATGATGAAATAGAAATAATGGTAAAGAGAAGAGGAAGACAAAGGAGGTAAGCATGCAGTGTGGACTCTGACTTCCTTCAGGTTCTCTCAGCCCCAGGGACTCTACGTAAAGATGCTCAAACGACACAGATTCAGTGTACTAATATACACATTAGTACACTGTTACTGAAACCCTAGCAAGGAAAGAGCAGGGAAGAAACCAAACACAAGTGAAAAGGATAGAAGTTGTAACAGAAAGAATCCTGGACTCTGAATGCTTCATTCATTCATTTATTCCTTTATACAATAAACATTTTTATACATCTGTTGTGTACCATGTACTGGTTATATAGTTAGTTCTGTAACTTAAGTGGGTCTCTTCACTTATCTAGCCTCATTTGTTCAACAATAAAAATTAAAATAAAAAAAGGAGGATTAAACTCATGTTCCTTCCCTACTGAATGTACAATATATTTGAAAGAAAGCATTATTTGCATAGATAACATTGGAAGGCAGGACGGGCCCATATGCTGGAGGTCTAAAACTAGTTTGGAAATTAAACATTGATCCTAAAAAAGAGCTAATTTTTTTTGACTTTTTAAATATTTCATGGGTGGGTTTCAAGGACATTTGGATTTATAAAGAGAATTAGGTAAATCTAACAGTCAATAAATGTATAATATTAGTCAACGTCACTGTTAATCAAGTAATTGAAAAGGTGATACCATTTTGAAGATAATGCAAAACCACAATGAAATCCCACTACATATCCACTAGAATGTCTAAAATGAAATAATTTATAATGCTAAATATTAGAGAGAATGTAGAATAAAAGAGACTCTCACCAGTGTGTAAATTGGCGTAAATAGTTTAACAACTTCTTACAAAGTTAAAATGGAAATCTAGCCTATGATCTAGCAATTCCACTCCTAGCTATTAAGCCAAGAAAAATGAGAATATTTGTCTTCAAAAAGACTTGTATAAGAATGTTCATATCAGCTTTACAAATAGTAGCTAAAGTTGGAAATAATCCAGATGTTCATCAACAAGAGAGTGGATAAACAAACTGTGATATATTCACACAATAGAAGAATATTCGGCAATAAAAAAGCAATAAACTCCTGATACATGAAACAACTTGGATAAGTCTCAAAAAGTTTATACTGAATGAAAGCATACAGTGTATGATTCCATTTACGTGGAATTCTAGAACCTACAGTGATAACAATGAAACCAGTGGTTGCTTTTGGGGTGGGGGGAGAGGAAGATGAAACTCCGTCAGAGAAGGAAGGGAGGGCATGAGGAAACTGCCAAGGAGGACTGAAATACCCCATGTCTTGACATGCATTTGACTTAAAATCTAACCATTTCACTATATTCAATTACATCTCAATAAAACAAAGTTTAAAAGATAATGCTGAGGGAAATCTGGGGATTTGGAGATGTTCTAAAACTGGATTGTGATGATAGTTACACAGCTGTATAAATTTCTCAAAAATCAAATATTCACTTACAGTGAGTGAATTTTGCTATGTGTCAATTATATCTCAATAAACTGTTAAGTAAAAAGTCAATGCGCTGTAATGGCTATTGGGATGTGGAGAAAAGTAATCACTCACAGATTCTGGGTATAACTTTTTTTCAGGGCAGTTTGGTGATGATGTGTATCAAGACTTTTACAGTAAGTATGCTTCTGGCCGAGTAATTTCACTTTGGAAATTTACCATAAGAAAATAACCAAGGACATGCACAAGGATTTAGTTTTTAAAATGTACGTTGAATTGAAGCGTTGTTTGTAACGCATAAAAATAAAAAGCAATTTAATGTCCACCAACAGCGCATTAGTGAAATAAATGTGTATGAATGTGTGTATAAACTATAGCTATTATAGTGTTGTAAATTAATATTTATCAACATGGAAAGCTATTTATAACATGGTAATAAAAAAGCGGGTTGGAGAAAATATACTGAAAACAGCATGATTAATATTATTATATATTACTAGTATTTGTAGTATTATGTAGTAGTGTTATTATATGCAAATAGTTCTGTAGGGATATATTTAATGTATAGCAAAGTGATAAGTGTAGCTACCTCTGGGTGTTAGGATTAGTGGCATAATTTTCTATTCTTTTGTAATAATTATATGTGCCTTTTATAAATGCATATGGCATTCTTAATTTTCAAAATAATATTGAAAACGAATTAATTGTGAAAGAAGACAGAAATCATTAGAACTGTGGTTCACATGTAGCAAACAAGGTGAATATGGGGTAAAGAGGGTTGTACACTCTGTGACTCTAATGAGTTCTGAAAATTTGGTGCAAAGATGTGTACAAATTGAATTGCATTTCCCATTACACTAATGAAAAATCCGCAAGAAAAAGCAAAGAATCATTTGAGGATATAAATAACTATTGCCCTGTGTTTCTTCTTGGAAATTCACATCATTTCAACTTTCAGATTTGCTTAACTCAGAAAACACCCAAATCATTATTTTTTGTAATATCCTGATCCAATTATTAATCTCAATCATATTAACAAAGACTTGGGTCTGTGTTGTACTGTTACTTTCCCAATTTGCAGGGTGCAGTCACTTTCTCACCTATTTGGGGGACAGTCTGAAAAGGAAGAATTTACTTGCTTAAAGAATTTGAATTGTATAGGAAGTTGTATAGGAAGTTGTTGTTTTGGACTAAGCTCCTGCACTGGGCCCCAACAGACCAAACTAAAAATCAAAATGGAGTTACCCATGCTAAAGTTCCACATCACCAAAAAAAAAAAAAATACTAAGTTGTTCTCAAATCTTCCAAGAAATCAAAAGAGAGAGAGTTAACAGCCAATTTCCCAAACAGGCAGATTTTCGATCATCAATCAGTATGATAATAAAGTTTCTTATACTTTAATCCTTAACAAAAAAAAAGCTAGGCTGAAGTAACCTGATATTAACTAATCAGTTATTTTTTTTATTGTTCTTTCTCCGGGTCTCCACCGCACAAGGAAAATAACTTTGAAATGATCAGTCTGCTTTTTGTTCTTTGTTTCTGCTTCCTTCAGCTTCTTCTGTCTATAAAGCCAAACTCCTACTGGGCTCTTGAGAACACTTAACTCGATTTTATGGAACGAAGTCTTGCCTAATTCTAGAATCGCAGTAGAGCCCATTGAGATCTTTAAATTTGTTGTGGGTCTGTCTTTTGACAGGTTGATTTCTAAAAATTACTGATAATTGTATGAAGTTGCTTCTGCCAGACTCTGATGAGGAAACAAAGCAATCTCCACATCCAGGAGGAAAGCAAAGAAACAGGCACATCCGGGAAACCTCGACCACTCAAGAGCATTCTTCCAGGAAACACACATGAAACAAAAACATCTAGAGTGCACCTTTCTCCAGAGTGCCTGAGCTCTAGCCAAGAGTCACCTTGGCCCAACACTGTCCCCATCTGCAAAAAGTGAAACGTGGCCGGGCGCGGTGGCTCACGCCTGTAATCCTAGCACTCTGGGAGGCCGAGGCGGGCGGATTGCTCGAGGTCAGGAGTTCGAAACCAGCCTGAGCAAGAGCGAGACCCCGTCTCTACTATAAATAGAAAGAAATTAATTGGCCAACTAATATATAGAAAAAATCAGCCGGGCATGGTGGCGCATGCCTGTAGTCCCAGCTACTTGGGAGGCTGAGGCAGGAGGATTGCTAGAGCCCAGGAGTTTGAGGTTGCTGTGAGCTAGGCTGACGCCACGGCACTCACTCTAGCCTGGGCAACAAAGTGAGACTCTGTCTCAAAAAAAAAAAAAAAAAAAGCGAAACGTAAGTGCAGAGAGGGTGACTTGCCCAAAGTCGTGCCAAAAATCGGTAGTGAGGTTATGATTAGAATCCCTTGTCTTCCAAAAGTGTCAGAGCTCTTGTAAGTCAAGGACATAACGTGGTGTAATGAAACGACCACCGGACTAGGAGTCAGGAAACCCGGTCTCAGGGTTGGTTTTGTCACATAAGAAGCCATGTGTCCTTGGGCAGCCACCTACCCTTTTGGGGACTGCGCCTTCTTGCGGTAAGCACACCCCAGGGCCGTTCAGACTGTCTGTAGCCCAGGCTGCATAAGGGAAGCCATTTTGCTTCCAGTGTGCTTTCGTTTGTTCTGTCTTAAAAGTTTAGAATTAAGGCCGGGCGCGGTGGCTCACGCCTGTAATCCTAGCTCTCTGGGAGGCCGAGGCGGGCGGATTGCTCGAGGTCGGGAGTTCAAAACCAGCCTGAGCAAGAGCGAGACCCCGTCTCTACTATAAATAGAAAGAAACTAATTGGCCAACTAATATATATAGAAAAAATTAGCCGGGCATGGTGGCGCATGCCTGTAGTCCCAGCTACTTGGGAGGCTGAGACAGAAGGATCGCTTGAGCCCAGGAGTCTGAGGTTGCTGTGAGCTAGGCTGATGCCACGGCACTCACTCTAGCCTAGGCAACAAAGCGAGACTCTGTCTCAAAAAAAAAAAAAGTTTAGAATTAACCTGCGGCTCGCTTGCTTACACAGCTGCCCCGCACAAGCCTGGAAAATGACCTTGAGGAAAAACAGATCAAGAAGCCGGAATTAGCCAACACCTGACAGCCTATTGTTTGCTAATAACCATCCGGCAAGTCTTGACGACTTGCACAAAGCCTGCTTTCCTTCACCAACCCTCTTTCCCCTTTCCCTTTATAAGTCGCTCAGTTAGCGGAGGAGAGGAGATGGTCTTTCAGACAACAGGCCATCATCTCCTCCGGCTGCCAGCTCTTGAATAAACCACCTTCCCTTCACCAACACCCGCCTCCTGTGTCTAGTTTGGGTGATGGGCCACTGAACCTGCATTGGCAACAGTACCTGTAACATGCATGAAGAGGTCCTAGCAGAAAACATGTAAGAGCTTCCCAGATGAAGCAGCCTATGGCTCTAAGAAGCTCACACTCCTCCCTTCCCGGCCCCCTCAGGCTTAGTCCTGGCATTCTTGCCACTCTATCCTCCCTCCAT